GACAGAGTTTCTCTGTGTAACTTTGGAGCCTATCCTGGTACTCTCTCTGTAGACCAGGCTGGCATCCAAAACACAGGGATCCGCCTGCCTCTGAGTGCTGGGATCAAAGGCGTGCACCACCAACACCCAGCTTCTGTAGGAGTGGATTTGTAGAGAAAATATTGTTCAAGTTTGGTTTTATCATGGCATGTCTTCATTTTCTCCTATGGTGATTGAAAGTTTTGGTGGGTATAGTTGTCTTAGCTTGCATCTGTGGTCTCTTAAGAGTCTTAAGTTCTACTAGCATTTAGAATTTCCATTGAGAAGTCAGATGTAATTCTAATAGGCCTACCTTTATGTGTTCCTTACTCTTTTTCCCTTGTAGTTTTTAATATTCTTCCTTTGTTTTGTACGTTTAGTGTTTTATTATATGCTGAGAGGACGTTCCTTCCTAGTCCAGTCTTTTTGGTGTTCTTTATGCTTCTTGTACTTTGATAGGCATTTCCTTTAGGTTAGGGAAATTTTCTTCTATGATTTTGTTTGTTGAAAATATTATCTGTGCCCCTTATCTGGGTTTCTTCTCCCTCCTCTATTCCTATTCTTTTTTTTTTTTTTTTTTTTTGGTTTTTCGAGACAGGGTTTCTCTGTGGCTTTGGAGGCTGTCCTGGAACTAGCTCTTGTAGACCAGGCTGGTCTTGAACTCACAGAGATCCACCTGCCTCTGCCTCCCGAGTGCTGGGATTAAAGGCATGCGCCACCAACGCCCGGCTGTATTCCTATTCTTGAATTTTGTCTTTTCATAGTGTCCCAGGTTTTCTGGATGTTTTATGCCAGTATTTTCTTTAACTTTTACATACTCTTTACCAATATATCCACTTCATTGTGTTTTCAATGTTTGAGGTTCTCTCTTCCATCTCTTATATTTCTGTGGTTCCTGTTTGAGTTCCTAAATTTTTCATTTCCATACTTTTCTGAGTTTGGGTTTTCCTAGTTGATTCTATTTTCATTTTCAGGTCTTGATCAATTTTATTCTTTTCCTTCAACTGTTTGCTTGTGTTTTTCATAGATTTCTTTAAGGGATTTATTCATTACCTCTTAGAAGACCACTATTGTATTCACAAAGTCTGTTTAAAGTCTTTTTCTTGTGCTTCAGGTATGTTGGAATACCCAGGGCCTGCTGTGATAGGTTTGCTGGACTCTAGTGGAGACAAATTGCCCTGGCTGTTAATGTGTTTTCACTCTGGCATCTATCCATCTTGATTTGGGGTTGTTGTAATTGTTGGTGCTGATATCTGGTCTTGTCTTTTGGGTGGGTGTTTTGTTGCTTGGTTTCTTTTTCTTCTCTGGTTCTTAGAGTGTGGCGGCTGTGTGCTGCCTGGTAGGAAATTTATCTGAGATGGTGATAGGTGTGGTCACTGGGGGTAAAGGTAAAATGTATTTCTAGGTATTGGGAGCTGACACTTAGGAATGGGGATGGACTGAGGAGGGGGATGAGCGAGTCCACAGGAGGGAGGAAAGCAGGGTGTTCCAACAGGATCTGATTAGTCCCCTGAGAATGGGGCATAGAGGGGCAGCCACAGCAGAAAGTATGCTATGGAGTTGGGGATGAGACTGGGGGGTTGTATCTGAAGGAATGGAGGGTGACATGAAGATCCACATGCTGCCACTGGCCTCATGGTTTTTGGTTGGAGTTAAGTACTTTCATTTGATATTCCCAGGTCTGTGAGACTTACCCAAGAGAACTATACGTTCCAAAGTCAGCCATCCTGCCAATGATCATGGGCAGCTCCAACTTCCGGAGCAAGGGCAGACTTCCAGTCTTGTCCTACTGCCGGCAGGGCACCGAGGTAAGAGACTTCTCTGATTTTGTAGGTACAATGAACTCAGGCAACACTCTGGAAGAGTACTAATGTTTTGTTTTGTTTGAGGTAGAGTTTCACTATGTAGACTAAACAGGCCTCCAACTCATGAGATGTACCTGCCTTTGCCTCCTGAGTTCTGGAATTAAAGGTATATGCCACCACACTGGGCATTGAATAAATACTAGCTTTTACTTCACAGGTTTGCCATTATAATGTTGATAACAGACATGCTGACTTTTCACTATTATTTTTGAAGTTTTAAAAGAAAACTACCCTGAAATTCTCCTTTCCTACCTTTCTCTTCCAGAAATTCCTTAAGAATGGGACCAGTGAATAGATAGCTGTTTTCTTTCTGTAGTTTTCCTCTAGTTCTAAGAGCACTTAGAGAGATTGGACCAGTGACTAGATAGCTGTTTTCTTTCTGTAGTTTGGCTCTAGTCCTATGAGCACTTAGATTGGATAGCTAGCTTGTGCCAAGACAGGTGCCGAAAGCAGGACGAGATCCCAGCGCATCTGGGCTCTTTCTGAACAGTGTGAGCCCTTCATGTGGGAAGGAGCAGGTAGAGGAAGCATGTCCACACTGTCCACACTGAAGTGGTGGCAGGGTTTGCTCTTCTGTGTGTCTGCACACACGTGTGACTGGCACTGGAATCCAGGGTCTCCTCTCTACCCTGAGCGTCACTCTCACCCCATGGGCACTTTACCTTCCCAGCTTCCTCACAGTAGGGATCGCCTAGGCGCTGTGTTAAGTGTGTCTTCACAAGCTCGTAAAGGCAGGCTTTGCTGATGACTGAGGTTCAGAGATAGCTTCCACACAGGTGCGTTGAGTGCCTTGCCATTTCTGGCTCTCAAGCCTTTGTAAACTGATTTTTTAACATATTCCCTTCCTCACCCAGAAGGCTTTCTTCTTGGGTTCAGGAATTTCACAGTGATGTACCTTGGTATGTCATTTACAGACTACCCAGAAACTCTGATCTCATCTTGGAGAAGATACTTCTCTGTTAATGCAGTGTTTTCTTTTCTCTTAATTTTCTTTGCATTTTTTTCTTTTTAGCTTTTGTTAGTGGGCAGCTAGGCTTGCAGTGTAATCCTCTATTTCTACAGGTTTCCTTCCTGCTTTCCATGTCTTTCTGTTTTCTGGAAGAGTTCTTAGCTGTATTTCCCATCCAACTCTTAGGTTCTTTATTTGTGAGACCGTGTTTTGACATTAAGGGTTCTTTCTCTTTACTGAATTCCTTTAGTTAATTTTCTGTTGTCTGATTTGGTGTCAATAGCTCTCAAGCAGACAGGCTTTTGTTGTTTGTTTTTTGTTGTTTAAGGAATTCTGTGTGCCTCTCCCTCTCCTCATGTTCATGCCTGAAGTTGAATGCCTTTGCGTTTTCTATTTTTTCTGCTATCGCTTCCTCACAGTGTGCTTTTGCTGATGCATCAGCAAAAGGACGTTGTGTGATGTAACAGTTAGGAAGGGTGCTGGGAGCTCATATTCTGCTGGGGTAGGGTGAGTGTGTGTGTGTGTGTGTGTGTGTGTGTGTGTGTGTGTGTGTGTGTGTGCATGTATATGGCTTTTTTTTTTTTTTTTTTTTGAGACAGGGCTTCTCTGTGTAGCTTTGGAGCCTATCCTGGCACTCACTCTGTAGACCAGGCTGGCCTTGAACTCACAGAGATCCGCCTGCCTCTGCCTCCCCAGTGCTGGTATCAAAGGTGTGTGCCACCAATGCCTGGCAAGGGTAGATTATATTTTATCCTCTTGTTTAGGGAACTCTAAGGCTTCACTCCCATCCATTGCTGGGTCCAATCTTGATGTTAACTGTCTTTGTAGACTAAAAACTTTGTGTCCAAGGAAGAAAGGTCTGGAGAGCACAACTTACTTTATGTGTGTTTAGCCACTTGTGTTTTCAGCCACACCCTGCTCCTGTAGGTGCCAACTGTGACCTTGCTGATAGATTCCCCTTGCTCCTTCCTGTAGTAGGCACGTCCTCTGCCAAACCAGTTGCCTGTTGTCAGTCTGCTGTTACTGCACATGTCACCTCACCTCTGTTGGCATTTCTTTGTCCACACTTGTCCTGGTGGCCTCAAACACCTTGTATTTGTTAGAACTTTGTTCAGGTAAATTTTAAACAGAAGTTTCTAGTTTACTTCTAGTACCTTAAACTGTAGGGAGTTCCCTGGCCACCTTGGACACACCCTGTTAGCATACATTGTTTATTGGAAAGATAGGCTACAAATACTCTATGGTCTCCTTAGTGATGAGACAACAGGTATAAGAGGCATGGAGAACATTCCTTTAAAACAACAACAACAAAGAAACTTATTTATGCTCTGAGAACTAGAGTACCACATCCAGAAATACAAAACTGACTAAAAACATTTTTCAGATAAATAGGAAAGAACTCATCTATTTATTTATTTGCCTACTTGTTTATTTTTGTTTTTTTGAGGCAGGGTTTCTCTATGTAACAGACCTGGCTGTCCTGGAACTCACTATGTAGATCAGGCTGGCCTTGAACTCACTGAGATCTGCCTGCCTCTGCCTCCCAAGTGCTCAGATTAAAGGGGTGTGCCACCCCTGCCCAGTTGGAAAGAACTCTTGAATATTAAAAAGAATATAACAGTTCTCATTTCCTTCCGCCATTATAATTTTGGGGGTTGTATTTTGTGTGTGCAGGTAAATTGTAGAGACATGTACTTATAATGCTTTCCCCCAGTGATACTCCATTGGAATGTTTCTGTAGAGTTAAGCTGGAGGTGCTATGGATAAGATTGAAAAGAGAGAGATGCTTCTAAAGCTTTTAAGTTTTTTAAGGAATTAAAATATAGTAAAAAAATAAGTCACTGATTCCTTTTTTATAGATATGCCTCCTCTTAGGTTTTCTTTTCTCATCTTTATGTTTCACTTTCTGATGTTAAGTAGAGAAATAAAATTTCAGGTGCTGTTAATTTATATTTTAATTTTATTTACATGGATAGGTGTTTGTCTGAATGTATGTCTGTGAAGTGGGTATGTGCCCGGTGCCTATTGGATCCCCTGGAACTGGACTTACTAAAGGTTGTGAGTCTCCATGCAGGTTCTGGGACCCGAAACTGGGTCCTCTGGAAGAACAGTAGGTGCTCTGACCTACTAAGTTGTCTTTCCAGCTCAAGATGTTAATTAAAAGTTCCTGTTAAGGGTGGGAGAGATGACTTGTGGTTAACAGTGCTTCGTGCTCATCTAGAGGACTCTAGTTCTGTTCGTTCCCAGCACCTATGTTCAGTAGCATATTAGAATTTCCTGTTCCTTGTGTAATGCTAGCCCATCTTTCTTGACTTGAACTTGAGCTGAAAGTATCTTGTAGCTCATACAAAACCTGAAATACAGGTGTGTTCTCCTTGATAGACAGTTGACCAAATGCTGCTTCTTGGGACCTTGGTGTTTTTAATTTAACTTTGGTGTGTGTGTGTGTATACAAGCTAGGTATGGAAATATTTAGTTTCTTAGGAAAAGAGAATATTGGGAAGTGTCTTAGAATGTATTGCTGTGAAGAGACACCATCACCACTGCAACTCTTATTAATGAAAACATTTAATTGGGGCTGGCTTACAGGTTCAGAGGTTTAGACCATTATCATGGTGGAGAGCAAGGTGGCATGCAGGCAGACCTGTGGCTGGAGAGGGAGCTGAGAGCCAATTCTGCCTCTAGATCAGCAGGCAATGGGAAGAAGTATGACACTGAGCCTGGCTTGAGCATCTGAAACCTCAAAGCCCTCTCTCAGTGACACACTTCCTCCAAGGCCACACCTACTCCATCAAGGCCACTCCTCCAATAATGCCACTCCCTATGAGTATGGGGGCCATTTACATTCAAACCACCACAGGAAGTATAGACAGCATGTAGATTCTGACAGGATTTAAATCAAATAATATTTCAAAGTTAATGTCTTCTAATTTTCTTGCTGACTTTAAAACACAGTGTATTTGATTTTAACACTTTAAAAGCTTAGAAAAGGATCCAGATCTTTGTATAAACTGGTTTGTCTTTTTAAAATAGGCTGCCATTTGTCGATGTAGTCAGCCATTGTCAGGCTTCAGTGCCAGGTGCCTGGAGGATGAGAAATTGCTTAAAGCCATTAGTACAGCCAACTCGGGAAACCACTACATGTATGTTGTCGATACCAGGCCCAAGGTATGTATCCAAGTACCATGCAGTCTGTTACCTTTATTGTATATGTCTCTAATTGATGGGAATAAATGTATTTGCCCAGATATAACATACCTGAATTGTAGTTTTAAGTTAATAAATAATGTTATGGAGAAAATCAAGTCAGTCCTCTGAGGGATACCAATTAGGAGACCAGTTCTCTGTGCCCTAGGGCATGATTTCTTCTGTCTCCTCATATATAT